ACAATTGTCTTGAAAACTGCAAGGACTCGTCCAAGCAGTCACTGCAGAGTCGGTAACGACTGAGTGCAGATAAAAAAAAAAAAGCGTAGAAACTTTCTGGCTGCAAAATTTCTGACAATTCACCCTCCAGTAGATTCTCCAAATGGTCAGTGTGTTTAAGGGATTAAGATGCTGGATTTCTCCCAATATATCATGAGATGATCTGGCCAAGATGGAAGATAGTGAAGTTCTTGGGCTCAAAGAAAGAGGGGCACAAATCAAGGGTTAGCTGGCAGGGCTGCCAGGGAGAATGAGAATGCCATCCACACTGATAATTGCCAGAATCATGATGAGCTGTAGAAACAATGAAAATAAGTACAGAATGATGAGGAAGATTGGAAGAAATTTACTGCCCCTGCTGCAGTAGAAGAAAACTGTTGATGATCCAGGTTGCAAAGAGATTAAGCCTCAGCTGATCCTCTCAATGGAAGTCTGGAAACTACTACTGGATGTAACTCCCACTCATAGGGCAATGAGCTTATGTGATTCAGAGCATCTGCTAGGATCTACAAGCCCAGGCCAGAAAAAATTCTAACCAAGATTAAAACTAACCAAGTATACCATATTGTGTGAATACAGTGGTTAGATATGTTGTGTGAGCACATCTGGAGAGTCTCCTGGTTTTGTCTACAGGTCACCTTTCATATGCCAGCAGTAGCGAAGGATAGGGCAAACAGCAGAATATGATACAAAAAGCAACAACTTACCACGCTATCTGTAACATCCTGACTTGGCTGCAATGAAAACAGGGAGGTGTCCTGGGAATGTTCATATATGTATATATATAGATTATAATTTTTTTATTTAGGATTTTAATTACTATAGCAAAAACTAATACAAACTAAACTTAGCGAAAGAAAAGAGAATGGGAAAAAAGGATAAAAGTGCAGGAAAAAAGAAAAAGAAAGAAGAAAGAATATAATAAAGAAAAAAAAGAAATATATAAAGAAATGACTTCCAACCTTCATCACAGCAACTATAAACAAATTTAATAACTCTTCATCCACTATAAGGTTACAGATATCTCTTTATCCCACATCCCATCCCTGATCTACAAGCAAATCCATAAAATAGCAACTTCTCAATCCTGGTGCCAGCAAAAACTGGCAAGGGTTGCCACAATTTTGCAAAACAAGTCTTATTTTATCCTTGATCAAATAACTTTATCTTCCTTCTTTTTACTTCTATCAGTCTTAATCTTTAATTCAATCAAATATTGCAGGATTTGATTTCTCTTCCATTTTTCTTTATCCCATCACACAGATTTCTTCAAGGCTTTAATATGCCTCTTTTGTAGCTTCAATAACAAAACATTTTCCAGGTCATTCTCTTTGTTTATTATTTGTATTTCCCTTCTAATTTTTAAAACTTTTAAAACTTCAGCCAGTTTCTTTTGTATATCCAGTAAGCATCCTTTTCTAAGTCATTCTATTGGCCTGTCAGTTGTAGTTCCACTTTCAGTACTTTCTCTGTCTTGTCAGATAAAATTTCTTCCACATCTGTCATTCCTTCGTTAACATATTTTAGACATAGTCTATCCATAGAAACAGACTTCATTACTGACAGCGTTGATGTTGTTACTAATTTCTGGCTCCATTCCTCAAATATCTCCTTTAATATTTCCAGTGTTATAACGTTGTGTGTCATTTTGTAAGTCCCAGTATTAACTGACATCAAGAATAGGCTTGTATTTCGTTTTCTTCTGCTTAGAATCTTTAGTCTCCTCTAGTTTCTAAAATCATCACTTATCTTTGTTATGACCCAGTATAGCCAAAATAAGCCTGTTTCCCACAAGAAGCTGTTTATGTTTTATACTTAATTCCAAAATCTTATAGTAAAAGTCAATATTCAAAATTTACCTCGACCCTTAATCCGTTTATAACTTTCTTAGATCAAAATCTTATTTAGCTTTTTGCTGTTTAT